TTGCAGCCCAGGGATAAATCCCACTTGTTCATGGTGAATAATCCTTTTAATGTACTGTTGGATCTTATTGGCTAGTATTTGGGTGAGAATTTTTGCATCCATGTTCATCAAGGATATTGGTCTGTAATTCTCCTTTTTGATGCGGTCTTTGTCTAGTTTTGAGATCTAGGGAATGGTGGCCTCATAAAAAGAGTTTGGAAGTTTTCCTTCCATTTCTATTTTTTGGAACAGTTTCAGAAGGGTAGGTATTAATTCATTAAATGTTTGGTAGAATTCCCCTGGGAAACCATCTGGCCCTGGGCTCTTGTTTGTTGGGAGATTTTTGATGACTGCTTCAATTTCCTTAGTGGTTATAGGTCTGTTCAGGTTTTCTATTTCTTCCTGGTACAGTTTTGGGTGTTGATACATCTCTAGGAGTGCATCCATTTCTTCCAGGTTATCTAATTTGCTGACATATAGTTACTCATAATATATTCTTATAATTGTATTTCTTTGTGTTGGTTGTGATCTCTCCTCTTTCATTCATGATTTTGTTGATTTGGGTCTTTTCTCTTTTCTTTTTGATAAGTCTGGCCATGGGTTTATCAATCTTGTTAATTCTTTCAAAGAACCAGCTCCTAGTTTCGTTGATCTGTTCTACTGTTCTTTTGGTTTCTATTTCATTGATTTCTGCTCTGATCTTTATTATTTCTCTTCTCCTACTGGGTTTAGGCTTTATTTGCTGCTCTTTCTCTAGCTCCTTTAGGTGTAGGGTTAGGTTGTGTATTTGAGACTTTTCTTGTTTCTTAAGAAAGTCTTGTATTGCTACATACTTTCCTCTCAGGGCTGCCTTTGCTGCATCCCAAAGATTCTGAACAGTTGTGTTTTCATTTTCATTTGTTTCCATGAATTTTTTAATTCTTCTTTAATTTCCTGGTGGACCCATTCATTCTTTAGTAGGATGCTCTTTAGCCTCCATGTATTTGAGTTCTGACTTTCCTCCTGTGATTGAGTTCTAATTTCAAAGCATTGTGGTCTGAAAATATGCAGGGAATGATCCCAATCTTTTGGTACCAGTTGAGACCTGATTTGTGACCTAGGATGTTGTCTATTCTGGAGAATGTTCCATGGGCACTAGAGAAGAATGTGTATTCTGTTGCTTTGGGATGGAATGTTCTGAATATATCTGTGAAGTCCATTTGGTGGACTTCAAGTCCAGGGTGTCATTTAAAGTCTTTATTTCCTTGTTGATCTTTTGCTTAGGTGATCTGTCCATTTAAGTCAGGGGGGTGTTAAAGTCCCCCACTATTATTATATTGTTGTTGATGTGTTTCTTTGCTTTTGTTATTAATTGCCTTATGCAATTGGCTGCTCCCATGTTAAGGGCATAGATATTTACAATTGTTAGATCTTCTTGTTGGATAGACCCTTTAAGTAGGATATAGTGTCCTTCCTCATTTCTTATTATAGTCTTTGGTTTAAAATCTAATTTGTCTGATATAAAGATTGCCACCCCAGCTTTCTTTTGGTGTCCATTAGTATGGTAGTTTTCCACCCCCTTACTTTCAAACTGGGGGTGTGTTTGGGTCTAAAATTAGTCTCTTGCAGACAGCATATCGATTGGTCTTTTTTTTTTTTTATCCAATCTGATAGCCTGTGTCTTTTGATTGGGGCATTTAACCCATTTACATTCAGGGTAACTATTGAAAGATATGAATTTAGTGCCATTGTATTGCCTGTAAGGTGACTGTTACTGTATATTGTCTGTTTTCCTTTCTTGTCTATGTTACTTTAGGCTCTCTCTTTTCTTAGAGGACCCCTTTCAATATTTCTTGTAGGGCTGGTTTTGTGTTTGCAAATTCCTTTAGTTTTTGTTTGTCCTGGAAGCTTTTTATGTCTCCTTCAATTTTCAATGACAACCTAGCTGGATACAGTGTTCTTGGGTGCATATTTTTCTCGTTTAGTGCTCTGAATATTTCATGCCAGTCCTTTCTGGCCTGTCAGTTCTCTGTGGCTAGGTCTTTTGCCACTCTCATGTTCTACCATTGTAGGTTATAGATCTCTTCTCCTGAGTTGGTTTCAGGATTTTCTCTTTGTCTCTGAGACTCGTATGTTTTACTATTAGATGTCAGGGTGTTGACCTATTTTATTGAATTTGAGGGGGGTTCTCTGTGCCTCCTGGATTTTGATGCCTGTTTCCTTCCCCACAGTAGGGAAGTTCTCTGCTATAATTCACTCCAATATACCTTCTGCCCCTCTCTCCTTCTTCTTAATTGTCTGAGCAACCCAGGCACCCTGCCATTATTTCTTTAAATAAGTCTGCCCCATTCTCCCTCTTTTTTTCTGAAACTCCAACAATTCGCAAACTGTTTCTTTTGATGGTATTCTATAGATTGCATAGGCTTTCATCACTCTTTTTTTACTCTTTTTTTGTTCTCCTCTAACTGCATAATCTCAAAGTTCTTGTCTAGTAACTCATAGATTCTTTCTGTTGCTGATAATATTACACTTTTCATTTATTCATTGTATTTTTCACTTCCAGAATTTCTGTTTGGTACTTTTAATAATTTCTGTCTCTTTGTTAAACTTCTCCTTTTGGTTGTGTATTGTTTTCCTGGTTTATCTGAATTGTCTTTTTGTGTTTTCTTGTAAATCATCGAGTTTCCTTAAAACAGATGTTTTCACTTCTTTATTGGGTTCATTGCAGATCTCCATATCTTTGGGAAGATTATTATTGTCCTTTAGTGGTGTCATGTTTCCTTAATTTTTCATGCTCCTTGAAGTTTTGCATTGCTGTCTTCACATTTGAAATATCAGTTACCTTCTTGAATCTTTACTAACTGCCTCTGGGAGAGAAATACCTTCCATGATCCTTGCTATGGAGTCTAGGGCTTTCTCAGACCTTCTGTGGATATGCCTGCTCCATACTTCTTGCTCTTCCTTGTGGCAGAATTCTTAAGCCTATATGCTTTCTCTCAATTCTGCAAAGGCACCAGGCTAGGTTCTGACAGCCTCCCTTTTGTTTTTCCAAAAGTGGTGCTAAAGCTCAAGTTTGTGGTCTCTCCCTAGCCCACAGATTTGGTGTGGTTTTCTGTGCATGCTCACCAGCTGTCTGTCAAAGCTTCCTCTTACTGCTGCCATTGGCAGCATGCACAGGGAGCTGGCCACAGGATGGGTGTGTGTGTAGATGAGGCATGTGGAATTCTAGCAGTGCCTGTGAACCAGTTGGAGGCATGTGTGAATGAGGTATCCTCAGCAGCTCAAGAGCAGGTTTCTTGATATAGTCTGTGATGCAGTTAGTAGGATCCATGTTCCTTTAATGCCCACGAAGAGTCCTATGTGCCTCTTTTGCAGCATCTTCCTGCACCTGCCATGTAGCTCAGAATCTAGTCCTCTGAATATGGTGAAAGAAAAATAGGCTTCTTTGTCAGTATCCTGTACAGCTGGATGCCAGCTCTGGAAGCCAGTTCTCACCTTCCCCTGTGAGAGAAATCATGGGCTGAGAAGATCTCTTTTGACTCTAAACTATGCTGCCTTGGGGGAGTGGTAGTGTGAATAAAGTCAACTATTAACATTTCCCTCTCCAACACAACCAAACTTATATATTTTTTTGCTCCAGTGGTGTGCTGGAAATTTTCCACTTAGAAACCTTAACCTGGAAAAGTTCTCTTGTCCTTAGTGATTGTCTAAGGCAATATTTTTCAGGGACTCCTAGACCATGGCTAAGGGGTCTGGAGTTAGTTCATTGCCCACTTCAGGGCCCACAGTCAGGACCAAGGTCTCTATGTCCATTGTTTGATACCTGGGTGGGCAAGACTCCTCCTGGGTTTCTTGGCAGATGGTGCTGGATCCCACAGCTCCCAGAAGGGCACTTTTGCTGGTGAATAGATGCCAAATTGTTGGGAGTAGGGGAAACACAAACAAAGGTTGTCTTTTTTCAGCCACGATGCTAGTGTCACTACTATGTATATTCTTGAGTAAGTCCTTTCCCTTCTTTGGGCCTCTGTTTCCTCTTCTGTGTAATGAAGAATTTGTAAAAGATTGAATCTGAGAACATTTCAAACTCTGTCATTGGTTTATTAGTCATTAAAACCTTGATGGGAATTGGTTCATTGGATGTTTCTAGCCAAGAAAACTTTCTGAGAAAATTCATGGGAATGGGACCCCCATGTATATATATAATAATGAGGCCTCTGGTGGTAAGTGACAGAAACCAACTCAAGATAGTTGGGTAAAAAGGGACAATTCATCTCTAGTGTCTAGGGAGGGAGGTGTTTGGAACCCTAGGGGAAGAATAGAGCTGGGGTCTCATTCAGGAAAGGAGGGAAACCAGGAATAGGCAAACCTTCAAGGATTATTCTCTATTCATTAGGTTTAGGTGATTGGTGAATGGGGTGGTTGGTTTATGGACTGGACAGGCACTCCAGAAAGTGTTCTCTCCACTTAGATTGTTGGTCTTCCTTAGGGGCAGTGGTCCCAGAAGTGGGGTGGGGAGGAATGTGTGCTTGTCCAGATGTGCCTGGTCTTAAGAGGTAGTCCCATTGGAGGTCTCTAGTCCTTGGGTATGGGACAATGTGGACACACAAGAAGCAGGAAGAAAAAGAGGTGTGTGTGACAAACTTCACCCTGTGTGAAGCAAATTTGTGTGACAGCAAACACACTTTCCTGGAGCTCTTTTGTTGGTCTGGGATTCAGGGTTGGCCACAGACTGGCTCCTAACAGACAATCCACAATAAGCTTTCTGCTCCCCATCAACCCAAAATGGTAAAAAAGAGGCACTGAATGTCCTTGCTAATAAAGAAACCTCAGAATGGAGTTGAGGGATGTGGCAGGGTTTCTGGCCACACCTCACCCCCCATCCCCCACCCGACCCATAAATGTAGAAAGCTAATTGGTGAAACTGTCTAAGGGATTGGAGCAAGGAAGCTGATCTGGGTAGAGTATGGGTGGAGTAGGGACTGCCTGATCCCATTCCAGAGTGTCCTCATTTCTCAGTGACCTTCCTCATCTTTCTGCTCCAGAGTGAAATTGTCCCTAGACCAAGAGCCCAGGGCTCCAGGCTGCCATCAGGATGGTGGGTGAAATCCCCTACCTTATCTCAGATCTGGATCAGCGAGGCCATCGGAGATCCTTTATAGAAAGATATGACCCCAGCCTAAAGACCATGATCCCGGTGAGACCCTATGCAAGGTAAGCCAGGAGGAGGATTGGAGGGAGGGCCAGGGTAGAACCTCCAGAATTAGTTTCTAGACCATCAGGAGAGTAGGCACTGGCCCTGCTCCCCATGCTGCTGCTCTATATGCTTGTCTTTTTGTCTTCCTTCCATCCATCCATCCATCCATCCATCCATCCATTTATTAACCACTTCTTTACTCCTATTATCCTTTGGTGAGAGGGAAACAATAGCCAATACTTAAGGAGAGCTTTCATTGTGTCAGAATCTGTCCAAGGTCTTTACAAATATGGTCTCATTTACTCTTTTTTAAAAATTTAATTTAATTTTATTATGTTATGTTAGTGACCATACAATACATCATTAGTTTTTGATGTAGTGATCCATGATTCATTGTTTTTGTATAACACAACCACCATGGAGGTATTATTATCTTTATCCGATGGAAAAGTGAGGCACAGAGAAGTTAAGTAATTTGCCCAAATTTCATCAGTTAGCTTTTTCTCTGTAACACACAAACTTCCTAACTGTTAATACTTAGAAGCCTAAAACAATTGCCATTTAGTTAGCATGCGATTTTATGGTTGGGTCAGCAACTTGGGCTGGGCTCATTTGGGTGCTTCATCTGGTCTTGAGTGGTTTACTTATAAATCTGCTGGTCAGCAAGGTAGCTGTTGACTGGGGCAATGGGGATAAGTGGGCCACATGGGCTATCAATCCCCATCAGGGTATCCTGGGCTTGATCACTTAGTATTAGAGTAGACTGCCAAAAGGATGAGATGAAGAATGTAGGGTTTCTTGAGACTCAGGCTCAGAACTGGCACACAATTTCTTTCACAGCATTCTATTGACCAAATTAAGTCACAAATCAGCTCAGATTCAAGGTGTGGAGAAATAGACTCGATCTACTGATGGAAGCAGCTGCAAGCTCACATTCCAAGAGGTTGTTATACAGATGGGGAGAGGGAATTAGGTCAATTTTGAACTGTAAGATAGGAACACATACAGCTTGACTTTCAAGCTCACATGCTTAACTATAACATGATATGATATGATATTATTATTATATTAGTTATACTATTATAAAATGCTGCCTTTTCTACGTGGAAAGGGTCCTGTGTCTTCTGAACAGCAGAAGGCCAAGTGGCATCTCTATAGTGAGGTGATACAGCATTGATCTCTTCTAGAATCTCTGGACTGAAGATGCACCTTGAGCTCTCTGAGGGGAGAGGTGAAGTTTGAAAGGTGAGGGAATAGGCTACCATAATTAGCCCCAGGCAGGAAAGCGCTAACTACTTTGGTAGTAACCAAAGTAAAACTTTGGTTAAGTTTATAATTGTTTTGTGGAGAGGCAATGTGGTGTAGTGCTTAAGAGAATGATGGGACCCTGGAGTCAGCAAGCAGTGGGTTTGAATCATTGTTCTCCCACTGATCAACTGTAAGATTTTGGCCAAGTACTTTAACTTCTCTGTGCCATGATGTTCTTGTCTATGAAATGGTGTCATTATACTACCCTTCTGTACATTCCTCTGATTTGTTGTAATAATTCTATGAGGTAAGTATGACTTTATCATAAAAGCCATCTTTTAGAAAATTTTGCCACGTGCCAGGTACATAGTACATTGTTAATTTTCTCTTAGCTTGAGTTCTCCAAAAGCAGAGTGTGAGTTGAGAACTTGGGTGCAGTTAGCTCATTTAGGAGGTGATCCCAGGAAGAGGAAGCAGGAGGGAGGATTTAGGGGAAGTGAGTCAGGAAAAGACAACATGGTGTCATCAGTGTCACTGCTGTAGGAATGGGGACTGGATTCTACAAGTTCCTCCTGAGAAAGTGTAAAATTTTCCACCCAAAGGATGGGGGGTGCATTTATCCAGGGGCTCCTATACTCCATTTGTTAAGAGTTTCTCCTGGAGTCATCAGCACCCTGCAATTCGGTGCTGCACTTATGCTCCTGAGACGGCACCGAAACAGGTGGTGAGAAGAAGCATAGCTCTCATTCGAGTTGGGATGCTGTCAGCTTGAGCCAAGAGTCTGTGACCCAGGGCATCCTGGCAGCATCTGCTACAAATATAAAGCTCTTACAGGGTCCAGAATATACTAATGACTTAGTAATCAGTAGATATTACTCCATGTCTCTGACTTTATTCTGTCTTAGATGATTAATTTCTCAAGGGCAAAACCAAGGTCTTTTCCTCCTTCATTTCCTCTTCCTCTTCTTTCTTTTCTTCTCCTCCTTCTCTTCAACTGTTTACTCATTCTCCTCCTCCTCTTTTTCCTCCTGCTCCTCTCCATTTCTTCTTTCTCCTCTCCCTTTCCCCTCCTCCATCTTCTTTTTTTTTATCTGCTAGCTAATATTTATGTAGCCAGAACACTTTAAATATTTTAATTCATTCCATCCTCCTGATCTGCAGAACCACGAGTTTGCCACCAGTATGTGCCTGCTTAGGTAGCCTCCCCACTGGTCCCCGCCCCCCACATGGTGGCATGTCCTGCTCTGCACCTTCCTCATCCTTCTGAGAGCACAAGACATGCACCTCACTCCTCTGATAATCAGCTTCTGGGTCTTCATTTCCTCCTGACAATGGGTCAGGTGCTCTCTTTCCCATGGGATGGTCATGAGGCTTGAACACTGGCTCACTAAAATAATTCCATGGTTTGTAGCATTTATCAGCTCTGATGGCCTACCATGGCCGATTTCAAGTCAGTGTGATTTCACCAAATGCTGTTGGCAAGAGATGCACGGTAGCACCCTGTTATATGGTATTTCTACCATATAGATGCAACAGATTTACATAATCTAAAGACCATAGGTACTAGCAAAATCTAGTAAAATAATTAGGAAGTGATGACTTTCAAGTGCTTATTACCTTTGTCCTTAAGATAATTTATTTAAAATTATGTAATTTTTAATACTGGCCATGTTTAGCAACTAACTTGCATAACTCCTGAAAATTTTACAGTCAGTTCTCACAAGCTGATATGAGCTGGTCCCAGCACACACCATTGCTCAAAGGGCTAACAGGTGGGCCTCACAGCTTCGAAGTGTGGCTGTGGTTATTACTACAGTCAAGAACTCAAGTCAGGGATTCAGGGCAATGACCACTATGCCCTGGAAGACAGAGTGTCTCATTTGTCTTAGGCTGGCACCCAACCCTGTGGATGATGCGGGACTGCTCTCTTTTGCTACATTTTCCTGGCTTACACCAGTGATGGTTAGGGGCTACAAGCACACACTCACTGTGGATACCCTGCCCCCGCTGTCACCATATGACTCATCGGACACCAATGCCAAAAGGTACCAAGATTCCCTTGGGTCACCTCAGGAGAGGAGCCCACCCTATGCAGGGGCCCATGAGCCCTTTGAGTGCTCCCCTTTCCCGGGTGTGGAAATGGACACCTCCAGGTTCTTGGGGGCCCTCGTTGGTGGCTGTTCTCTGAAATGTGGGTTGGGCTCACTGAAATTGCTGGCCCAGTCTCTGGGGAGGTGAGGACTGGGGAGAGTTGGTGTGGAAAAGGACTGCTTGTGAGCTACAGCTTGAGGCTCAGGAGCATGCTGGCTGGGCGGTCACTGGTTTGTAGGAGCTCTACATCAGGATGAAGGTGGCCAGAATTTCACTTTGCACTGTGCTGGCTGGTGCAGCTCCAGGCATCATGTTTGTTTTACTTTAAAAATCATCATTGGGTTTTTACATTGCAAAATACATTTAGGTTGAACCAAATGAAACTGCCAATATTTGAAAATTTCGACTTGCAGAAAATGTAAATTTATTGGTTCAACATAATTCATATTCATTCTAGAATGTTAAAGCGTAAGACATTTAAGCCATGGGAGCATCTCTACTGTACTCTTGCTCTGCTCCGCAGAGGTCAGCATTGTTAAATGTGGGTGTTGATATGTCTAGAATTTTTTCTACTCTAATTAAGCATATCCTGTGGTACCATCTTCTGCAGATCAGTAACTCTTCTTTCTCCCACTTACATGTCATATTTTTTTTCTTTAAACAAAGTGAATCATACTATAGAATGGTTAACAATTTTGCTATTTTCAGTAAGCATTTATAAAGACTTCTCCATGTCAGCATAAGGATAAAGACATTAACTTCATTCTTTCTACCAGCTGCTTTGACCTTTGAGGTTGTGATGAATCATAATGTCTTAAACAATGGGGAACTTCTCTAAGCCTTTTCTGCACTTGTTTCTTTTGGGAGTCTTTTATCTTTGGCCACCGTGGGGTAAAGTGCAAGGCATAGCCTGAAGTATGTGCTTAAAGGACTGGGAGTTTTAATCATGGTCTTGCAATTGTTTCTACAACTGTGCTTCCCCTTACCCATATGCTGCAGATATCTCATTCAATGGTAATTTCCCAAATCTACAGTTCAGAGAAAGTTGCCAGTGAGATCAGAGAGAAGGGGCTGGACCAGTGCCTGTGGAGTATTGCTTTTCTTTCTACTTCTCTGGTCCGAACTTCTCTTTCTATTTTTAATGTTTCCTTCTATCTACCCAACATCAACTTGGATCCTCTTCTCTTCCATGCTATGCCTATTCCTAGGTGAGCTTATCCACTGCAAAGATTCAACACCAAACACAACCTTTTAATAACATGCAACTTCAGTCCATGCCTCTCTTCTAGACTCTGAATTCATATGCCCTGCATCCAACTGGATGGCTGGACTTGGATGACTCACAAGCATCTTATATCTGAAGCTACTTTCTTGATCCTGGGCCCCAACCTGATGATGCTCTTCTCTTCTTGACAAACTCCATTCACACATTTGGTTGAGCCAGAAAATTGGGGTTCTTGATCCTCCTTCCCTTTTCTTTCATGTCTACTTCATCAGTACATCCCTGTCCACTCTTCCTGAACTGTACTTCCCTTAATTCTAGTGTCAAACCATTGCCACTTCTCCCCTGGATGTCAACAGTCTCCTGCTGTGGTCCCTCTGCTTTTGCCTTTGTTCCTCCTATAACCCACTATTCTCACAGCAACCTGAACATTCTTTTAGATATGTAAAATGATCTTATCACTTCAGCTTAAAAACCTGCAATGGCTTCCTTTGCTTGAGAAAATAAATCTAAACTCCTTTCTGAGGACTATGAGGTCCCACAGGATTTGGTTTTGCCTCTCCTCCCAGTGTCATGTCAGCCCTTCTCCTCCTTCATCACACTCCTGTCACACTGGCCTTCTTTCAGATCTTTGAAATGGACAAACTCCTCCTCACCTTGGGGAAGATTACTCTTGTCATTTCTCTATTGCCTCCATTTTTTTTATCAGAACTGGTATTGTGCCAGAGATGGGCAGTAGGACCAGGAAATGAAAGCCTGGAAAGTACCCAAGTGCCAGGTACCAGCTGTGCTTGTGCCAAGGCTTTGCCCTCCTGTCCCTCCCATATCCCATCTGCCCTGGAAAAGAAGAAAAGAGAATCAGTACTGCTTGTGTGGAGCCACCACTGCCAGAGATGAGGGTTGTGCTGAGCACCCTTGGGAGGTTTGTCCATGGAAGTAGCTTCAAACAGCAAGTGGAAATGTAAGTCCCTTTCCTTCCTTCTTCCTGTTCTTTCATCACAGATTTCGAATCCTTTGGGATGAAGAGGTAGAAAGTGTGGGTCCTGAGAAAGCCTGTCTGGGCCGAGTGGTCTGGAAATTCCAGAGGACACGTGTTTTGATGGATATTGTGGCCAACATCCTGTGCATTACCATGGCAGCCATAGGGCCGGTGAGTGGCGGTGGCCCTTCTCCTGCCTTGTCAAACAGGTCCCCAGACTGACAAAGAATGTCATTAGTTACTTTCTCTACGAGCTGGTGGGTTTAGTACATTGTCATTATCTTTGAGCTCCTTGGGGGCAAATTTTCATAAAGCTAATCCTTGTCAAGCACAGCAGCCGCCACTGAAATTAATTAAAAAGTTTGCCTCATAAAGTCAGCTTGCCGGCATTATCTGAGGCTTCCTATACCAACCTCAACCCCAGTGGCCCTCTCATCTCTCCATTGTGCTGTTTTACAGACGGTTCTCATTCATCAAATCCTCCAACAGACCGAGAGCATTTCTAGGAATGTCTGGGTTGGCATTGGCCTGTGCATAGCACTTTTTGCTACTGAGTTTACCAAAGTGCTCTTTTGGGCTCTTGCCTGGGCCATAAATTACCGCACAGCAATCCGGTTGAAGGTGGCTGTCTCCACCCTGGTTTTTGAAAACCTGGTGTCCTTCAAGACGCTGGCACACATCTCTGTTGGCGAGGTAAGCTGGTCCAGAGTTTAATCTTAGAAAATTAAATCCTGAGTTTTCTGAATATGATTGAGATGTGCTTCCTGGTTGGTGCATATGCCTTCCTTTTATTTGTCCAATGACCTGCCCATTATAGCCCATCTCCCTGCTAAATGAGGTGATGGAGACTCAAAACATCAGAGCAATTCAGTGAAAAGAGGGCTCCATTCAAGCTGAAGAATTTGGAAATGTTTTCCTGTTCCAGCTGAGACAGGGCTTGGGGGTGACCTCATTCAGTCCCTTTGATTGTCAAAAGGGACATTGAGGCAGTATGGAATATACCACAGGCATTTAAAAAATGAGTGAGGGCAATTGCACTACTGGGTATTTACCCCAAAGATACAAATGTAGGGATCCAAATGGGGTACATGCACCCTGATGTTTATAGCATCAATGTCCACAATAGCCAAACTGTGGAAAGAGCCAAGATGTCCATCAACAGATGAATGGCTAAAGAAGAGGTGGTATATATATACAATGGAATATTATGCAGCCACCAAAAGGAATGAGATCTTGCCATTTGCAATGACATGGATGGAACTGGAGGGTGTTATGCTGAGTGAAATAAGTCAATCAGAGAAAGACATGTATCATATGACCTCACTGATATGAAGAATTCTTAATCTCAGGAAACAAACTGAGGGTTGCTGGAGTGGGGGAGTGGGAGGGATTGGGTGGCTGGGTGATAGACATTGGGGAGGGTATGTGCTATGATGAGCACTGTGAATTGTGCAAGACTGTTGAATCACAGACCTGTACCTCTGAAACAAATAATGCAATATATGTTAAGAAAAAAAAAAAGAAGATAGCAGGAGGGGAAGAATGAAGGGGGGAAATCAGAGAGGGAGACGAACCATGAGAGTTGATGGACTCTGAGAAACAAACTGAGGGTTCTAGAGGGGAGGGGGGTAGGGGGATGGGTTAGCCTGGTGATGGGTATTAAAGAGGGCACATTCTGCGTGGAACACTGGGTGTTATGCACAAACAATGAATCATGGAACACTACATCAAAAACTAATGATGTAATGTATGGTGATTAACATAACAATAAAAAATTTAAAAAATAAAAAATAAAAAATGAGTGAGGAATTGATCCAATAACTGATTGTGTAGAGTTTGGGGTGCTAAAGCCATAATAAAGACTATGCCTACTGGACTTCAGAATTTATATTTTCTCTGTCTTTTTTATTTTCTTTTCTTTCTTTAGAGAGGGAGAAAGAGAGATAGTTGGGAAGAGGGGCAGAGGGAGAGAGAGAGAATCTCAAGCAGGCTCTACAACCAGTGCAGAGCCCAACATGGGACTTGATCTCACGACCCTGAGATCATGACCTGAACCCAAAACAAGAGTGGGATGCTTAACCAACTGAGCCACCCAACATTCCCTTAACTGAATTTATATTTTCTTAAGCCCTTGAACCTTAGCAATAAAATCCTCACCATTTACACAATAAAATTTCCCTAGTCAAGGAAAGTCCAGTGAGGTAAGGGAGAAGACTTGCTTCTTTCTTACAGTTGCTCTTTCATTATGTCCAAAGCATCCTGTATCAGTTAAGATGAACTTGGCTGCATAGAACAAGAAAATCCAAAATAACAGTAGATTAAGCAAGATGAATTTATTCCACTTTTTGCAAAAGGAGTCTGGAAGAGAGCTATTCAGGGCTGTTATGGGGACTTCTGGATCTTCCCACCTTTCTTTGTCACTATCCTAGTGCTTGGCTCCCAAAAGGAGGATGCTGGGATGGATGCTGGAGGTCCAGCCATGTCAGTCATGTTTCAGATAGCTGGTAAAAGGAAGGAGAGAAGAATAAAGGTATATGTTCTCTAAGTTGAGTTGGCTCCCTTTAAGAATGCATTTCCAAACTCCCATTTGATATTTTTGGCTTATATCTATCTCATTGACCTTGACACAGTCACATGGCCATACTCCTTCCACAAAGGAGGCTAAAAATGTAGTTTTTTAGCTGGGCATGTTGCTGATCTGAATAAAGCAGGAAGAAGGAGAGATAGATAAAAGGTAGATGGTAAAAAAAGCTAGCCATCTCTCCAGCATGCTCTTAGATGATAATATTAATTACTCTTTATGTCTTTCTTCATTGGGATTCTCAGTCTTAAAATACTGGCCTCTCCAAAATCAGATCAGCATGAGAGCCACAAAATTCATCATGTTGGTCCCTTGACAAATACCCCTGCCCCTTAAGGCAGTTTTTTCTCTCCTCTCCTCAGTTGAGGAGATGTTTGGGTGGTGCTTCCAAAGCCTGAATCCATGTGCTTTCTTTCCAGGTGCTCAATATACTATCAAGTGATAGTTATTCCTTGTTTGAAGCTGCCTTGTTTTGTCCCTTGCCAGCCACCATCCCTATCCTGATGGCTGTTTGTGCAGTGTATGCCTTTTTCATTCTGGGGCCCACAGCTCTCATTGGGATATCTGTTTACATCATATTCATCCCCATCCAGGTAATGGCAGGTCTTTGCAATTGTAACTGCTGTATGCTTGCATTTTGCACACATGTTCTCACTGAGTTGGATAGAAGGTTTCATTTCCAGGGCAGGGAACTGAAGATTGTGCTCCCACTTTGTGCTCCCAAATGTGCTTTCTTTTGTTGGCACAGTGTATTTTTTTTTTTAAGAACTTGAATTTGAATGCCCTGGGGGAGGGAGGCATGCTTTTTCAGTTTGTCAAAGTCCCCAACATTCTCTTTGCATCCTAGCAACTCACGTATTTGTATCACCTGCCTGATCCCCAGTGGTGTCCCCTGGTCCACATTGGCTGCCACAATTTAAGGGAAGGATGGCTGAGAATTTCAGTCCAGTTTCCCTTAGAATTTTTCCTGGCACTTATACTCTGATCCCTGGATTTTTAGGTCAACTGCAACTCAGCAATTCTCTCTGAACACTGTTTGTACCTTGATTTCAGATGTTTATGGCTAAGCTCAATTCATCTTTCCGAAGATCAGCAATTTCGGTGACAGACAAGCGAGTTCAGACAATGAATGAGTTTCTGACCTGCATCAAGCTGATTAAAATGTATGCCTGGGAGAAATCTCTTACCAGTACCATTCAAGGTAGGATGTGCAAGTGCTTGAAGAACAACTTACCCTGTAGAATGAGCTCTTCTAAGGGGTTCTTAAGGTTCCTGGGGCCAGGCATTCCAGAAAGGGAGTTGTGGGGACCCCTGAACTGCTTTTCAGGTTTTTCAAGGATTACAGAGATTTTAATAGACCCAGGCATCTGTTCTGGTGAACCCAAATGCTTAGCAGGTGAGCGACATATGGCTTAGACTTTATGAAGGCATGTGGATGCTGGTACTGCTGGTTACCTTTTGCAAAAATAATCCATGAAAACATTATGAGAAGAAGAAGAGCTATCTCAAGCTATTTCCTTGACTTAGAAGATGTCTACACATACACAGTCACACACTCACACTTAACATATATATCTCCTTGCCTGCAGCAACCTCATCATGATTGCATGACCCCCTGCCTTGACATTCCTTACACAGATATGAGGACACATATATAGCTTTAAAAAAATGATATTAAAACCATTACAATAAAATATAAATGCAAATCTAATTGCAGGAACATTTACATAATTGCTGACATAGACTCAGGTGGTTGGCTGGTTAATGATCCGAACCACTGTTACAATTGACTCTCTGGATCTACAATTACACTTTTAGATCAGCATGTAATTGGGCCTGAAGCTGTGTATCTGTGTTTTAGGAAGTGGCTTTAGAAAACTTGCTTCTGAGCTTGCCAAAGAAAGTGCTGCAGGTTGGGACACTGGCAACCCTTTGGAACCTTCCTTGAAGACCCAGAAATACCTCCTCACACATTGAACTTGCTTTAGTTCAATGATTTGGTTAAACTTGATTCCATTTGACTTAGTTCAATTTAATTTGAGTCAGTTTAACTCAATACATATTTATCAACTTCCTACTATGTGCCAGGTCATGGAACTGTGTAAAATGATTAGAGAAAGGTCCCTGCTTCTAAGATGAAGGGACAATGAGTTAACTAAGCTCAACAATAGCTATAAGTTTGTTGGCTCTACCTCTAGAATACCTCTGGAATCTGCTTCTCTTCATTCTGTTGCCACCCTAGTGCAAGCCAATATTCTCTTCCTTCTTGACTATGGAAAGAACATCCAGATGCAACACTTGCTTTCTTCCTTCCCGTACATAAAATCCATTATGTACTCAGAAACCACTGTGACCTATTAAAAATGTCAATCAGATCCTGTCCTTCCCTGCTGAAAAATCTTTAGTGGCTTCTTATCACACTTAGATTATTCCGATTTAGGACTTTTGATTTAAATCCAAATTCCTGGGGTGCCTGTGTAGCTCAGTCAGTTAAGTGTCTGCCTTCGGCTCAGGTCATGATCCCAAAGTCCCCAGGATTGAACCCTGCATCAGGCTCCCTGATCAGCAGTGAATCTGTTTCTCCCTCTCCCTCTGCCCCTCTGCCTGCTTGTTCTCTCTCTCTCTCAAATAAATAAATAAAATATTTAAATCCAAATTCCTTTATATGGCCTATTATCCAACATGATCTGACCCTTGAAGACTTCTCTGATCTCATCACATCTTGTCTTAACCCTTGATAATTCACTTGGGCAATGGAACCTTCTGTCTTTTTTTAGAACAACATCCATGCTCATTCATGCCTCAGGATCTTCGCAGTTGCTCTTCCCTCTGCCTGAAATGCTCTTGTGCTAGATGTTCATGGTAACTTTGTGACTCTTCTCAATGTTGCTGACTCAAAGAGGCCTTCCTGACTATAGTTCTAAGCAGGTCCATTCTATACCAGTTCCTTTTAATCATTTCACCCTGTTCATTTCTTTCATATCATCCAACAAATTTGTAATGATAGAATTTGTATATTTTTTTTATTGTCTATCTCCCCAGTGGAAAGAGAACTGAGACTCTGTTTATTCCTATACTGTCCAACACCAAGCACAGCACCTGGCCAGTAGTAGACATCAGGTTACAATTTGTTGAATGAGTGAATACATGAAATAACTGTAGGTTGAAATGGGGAAAACGCCACAAAGGAAATGAAGAGAAGTTCCAGGAGGGTGAGGGGGTGAGCACATCACATTGGAGAGATCAGAAAGAGCGTCATGGCAGAAGCGGCATTTTAGAAAGGCCTTGAAGGATAACAAGGATTCAGACACTGACAGAGCTGGGGAAGACCCCCAGCAGGAACAAAGGTCTAGAGGTGGGTATGTGAGAGTGTGCTTGGGGACAAGGAGGTGGGTGGTATCTTAGAGGCAAAAGGCATGTGGACAGCAGAGCTTTGGACTGCTGTAGAACTGGGTTCCAACTCTGCCATGAACACTTAAAACGCAAGTTACTTAACCTGTGATGACTTTCCTGTCCTGCCAGAGAGCATAATGATAGCCCCTCCCTTGTCACACAGTGATGAGAGTGATCAAATGAGAGCCTTGTGCAGTGCTCAGTAGAGCACTCAGTAAGTGCTGGCCCCATGTTGCCAGTGTGAAAGGGTTCTTTCAGAAGAGGCTGGAATTGGAGTGAAGAACTTTAAACACCAGGAGAAGGAGGCTTGAATTTAACTTTTGAACAGTGCAAAGGCACGGACCCCATCTGGACTTATGAAAGGGATAAATGCTCTTGGGCTTTGGTAGCTGTACCTGGAACAAAAGACAGGAGTCCCAATCTGGCAGTCTTCAGGTTTGTCACATGTGTTTTGTTTGGTTTTACAGTTTAAAAACTTTTTTCAATTAGTTTCCAACATTTACAAGTAGAAAGATGTCCCACAAAATTCCAGATCCCAGACTTTGGAACAGTTGAAAGTCTGGTGACACTGAGCTGCCCTGCACTGAGAGGTGGAGGCCCCTTTCACTGAGGCATGTGGTCCCCATTTTGCTATACTCCACATCCTCCCTCTGGTCTTACTCTCTGCTCACTCCCTTCATTTTCATTACTTGGCCAGCTTCTGTAGGCATCCAAGTGTATGGCTCCTGACACAGAGAATCAGGTTTGGAAGAGACCTCAAAAACCATCCAGTATGGCAGCTGGCATGCACTGAGCTCCCAGTTTGTGCCCAGGACATTCTGTGCTTCCTTTCATTTAAACTTCACAACAGGAATCCTTAACACTCTTTTGCAGGAGGTTAAGATGGGGTAAATACATTTCTTAGTGCTGCAAAAATAAATCCGTCACGGACTATGTTCTATTTACAGATATGAGGAAGAGGGAAAGGAAATTACTGGAAAAAGCTGGATTTGTCCAAAGTGGAAACTCAGCCCTGGCCCCCATTGCATCTACAATAGCCATTGTATTGACTTTCACCTGCCACATCCTGCTGCGACGCAGGCTCACTGCCCCTGTGGTAAGAACCATCTCTAGAACTGGCCTTTTCACACTCCAACACTGGCAAGTGCCAGGTGGGAAGCCTCTCCCTGCTTGCAAAGGCCCAGCTTTGGCACCAGAATACCCAACCACAGAAAGGCCAGAATTCTATCTTGACTTTTAAAAACAAGTGCTTGGGCTGACAAGGAGCCCAGGAGAGCCTAACAGTGACTCTTATCCAGTCTGTGTCAGTGCAGGAGTAGTGTTTAATGTTGGAACACAGTTTGACCTTTGTAAAACAAAACTGAAATCAGATGAGCACTTGGCTGTTTTAGTCACAATTATTCATACGCTTCACAAGAAGGAAAGTTTGTGGGAGTTCTCTGGGTGGGAGGAGTCTTAGGTACTGGGAGATGCTAGGGTCAGAACACCCCTTTTTAAAATCCCAACTCTGGTACTTTACTATGATGGAGGGTAATTCATTGAACCTCTCTTGCTTGGTTTTATTATCTATAAATGGGGTTATTATAGTCCCTGTGGTTGTGAAGACGGAAGGAGTTCTTTTATGTAAGGCACGTGGAACAGTGCCTGGTATGTTGTAAACGCTGTGTAAGTGTCTGTTGTTCTTATTAGTCTGATGCTCACCCAGGCCAGGAGATTTTGGGCTGAAAGCCTCAGGGGGAGAATTAGAATGAATGTGAGATGCTCGGGTTTTTTTTTTTTTTATAAGGGGGCCTGTGCACTCAAAGGTAAAGAAACTCTGGGCTGGATCAGAAACAACCCCTGGCTGAAATAAACAAAGAGCTGAGATATTAAACCCAGTGTCTGAAGAGTAAGTGAATGGAGGAAAGTCAATAAAAGCAAGAAAAAAAAAAAAGGGAGAGAGAGAGAACGAAATAAGCAAGTGTGCTTGAAGAGCAATAATTGCACCAAAAATCACGGATCTTGAGGGGAAGGGGCATGTGTGAGAAGGCAGGATGCTCTTGCTGGGGTGGGGGCGGCATCTGTTGTGGGGCTGTCAGTCCTGTTACTTCCCTGTGTTTCTTTGTAATGTGCTTTTTATTTTCTTGGGTTCTTCACACGCAGTTTACTCACACACTCTGGGGGCTTGAATTCAGCCATGAACCCAAAGCCAGAATGAATGGCAATGACATACCAAAGCTTCAACAGAATGCTTCTCTATTATTGTGACTGTGTTCTGTGATCCCAAATGACAACAAAAATTCTTTCCCCAGAAACACACCAAGAAAATTTAAAACCGAATTGAGTGCACATGGTTAATATTTTCTAAAACGATGATTTAGAAGAAATGTAGACCAAGAACAAATTCCCCTGAATGCAAGGCACATATTTTTCAAATTCAGAATCCCTTGGCTTCTCTGTCAGGGCCACTTCAGTAGGAGGTCAGCCCCAGGTGCTGGCTCACATCAGGAAGCCTGAGTGCTCTGTCAACCAAGGCCTGGGTTTTCTGAGCCAAGATAGTGCTTGGGGACCTGGGGGAGCTGAGTTCTCTTTGGGGATGGATTTGAGATCAGATGTAATGAAAGCAGCATTCTTCATTGTCCCCTTACAGAACTAATGAGGGTTAGTTGAAGCCCAGGGCTCTGTCCAGGGGGCCCATTCAACAGCAGGAAGGATCACTCTGGATTTGTTGATGGAAATTGTGTTATTAATTTCTTAAATGGGTGGTTAGGGAGAAACTGCTAATTACAAGTCGGACAGATGAGAAGATGAAATGTGAGAGATGAAATCATGCGTCCCTGGGGCACCGATGGAGCAAAGAAACTTATCTTCATTGAGGCTGTATGATGTTAACCACCTACCAGGCAGGGTTCAGTGAGAAAGGCCCCAGTAAGGAGGGGAGGTGATTTTTGGGAATGGCAGTTGAACAGAGGCTTTCAAATTTGTCTCAGGCATGTGGTGAGGCAGGGCGTGGAGGCTAGACCCCGGGGGCAGGAGAGCCAGAAGTCACTCTCCACCAGCCAGCATGGGCCAACTGGTCCCTCCAGGAAACTTCTGTCTTCATCCTGGGGCTAAATATGGTTTGGAAAAGGATACTCTAGATCTGAAGTGTCAGAGACCTCTGAAGCAACTGGGAGAAGGGGATAATTTAGGACAACCCATGGGGTTTTGAGTGAATGGTCTAGGCCATGTAAGGATGTGGATGGAGACTTCCAAACACATTCAATTAGAGGCCTTCCTTGAACATTATCCTCTCTGGACTGACAAAGAAAAGGGAATAAATCTTCCACCATTTTGATGAAAACCCAAAGCAAAAGAGATTAAGATATTGCTATCCCTAATTTGCCAGCCCATGATTTGTGAACCATGAAATGAAAAAAAAAAAAAAAAGTCCCTGTAAGAATTCCAACTGTGCCATCATTTCTCATCTCAGCAAATATAATTCCCATGGATATAATGGTTCAGAGCCAAGGCAATATCTCATCCTAAACCCTATACCTCTCTTTTGTTCTTCAGGCATTTAGTGTGATTGCCATGTTTAATGTAATGAAGTTTTCAATTGCAATCTTGCCTTTCTCTGTCAAAGCAATGGCTGAAGCCAATGTCTCTCTGAGGAGAATGAAGGTATAACTAATGCTGGGTGAGTAGGGAAGAGAGATCCCATTTTTGGGTGGAAAAATTCTCAGATATGGGGAAGCTGTGTAAACCCATTGGAGGGCTGGGTCACTGGTTTGAAGAACATTGGGAGAAGGCCCTGAATTCAGAGTTGGATCAATAAATGTGCATCAAGGAGGGTACAAGCAGAGCTTTATAAGGTTGTCTGTCCTTTTAGTAAAAATGAAATAGAATCTACCTACATGGAGATGATGTTCCTGACCTCTACTCTTTTTCCAAACTATAAATCTTAAGTTGTTCCAGGAGTGGGGTTGAATTTGCACTGAACCGTCCTCCTCCCCTTTACCTACTTGGTTTGTCCTATGATGGGCGAGGGGATGGTAGTGATGAAGAGGGTAGTGGGGCACCACATTTATGCACTCAGTTGCTTTATTCATTCATTCAGTCATTCATCAGAGATATACTGTGTGCTTCCTATATATAAGGTATTGTGGGAAATGCAAATAAGAGGAAGAGAGAATCTTTACACTCAAGAACCTTCAGTCTAGTGTAAGACCAGGTATCCCCGGAATTGATGTATGCAGTAAGGATATATGACTTGTACATAAAGTGGTTTTGAAGTTCAGGCAAGGGAAGGAAAAGGAAGAGGGTGTTCCAGACGTGTGTGAATTAACTGAATGATTTTATTCACTCAGGCCAGCAACTGGAAGTCATCTTAGGCATCTGAGATGCCTGTATCCCACTTCTCCCTTACTATCCACATTCAACCAATCAAGAACCCTGTTGGGTCATCTTCTGCTCACTGTATTTCTTCAATTTTAAGAGACGCTGTTTGTAAGATTGGGTTGGAAGGTGGCACTGTTGACTCATCACTTTTTGAACAAACCACAAGCATGAACACCATCACATTAATTGTTTATATTATATCAGATATCTTAGGCTAGAGGAACAATGCTATTCTTGACTCCTCAACTTTTGGTCTGTCCCTACTGCCATCTCCTTCATTCAAGGCCTTATCATCTCTCATCTGAGTCATCCCAGTGACTTATGAACCAATCTTCCTTTTCCATTGTTGCTCTTCTCAAATCCCTATCACACTCAGCCCCCAGAGAGCTGTTAAAATATTGGTCTGACCACTGATATTCACCTGCTTGAAATCCTTGAGTCCTTGTTCCCTCCGGGACTGAGACGGAGCCTTCCATCAGCAGGTCCTTAGTTATGTCTCCACCTGATTTCCTATACCTTCCCTATCTTGAGCGCTGTGGTAATCCTGAATTGCTTGTTTCATGCCCCCACCCCAATAAACCATGGTGTTGCATGCTTCCTTGCCTTTGCTAATGCAAATATCCTCTTCCACCCCTCATCTTTGCCTATACAGCACCTTTATAGACTCAGCTCAGGCACCAATACATGGCCCTCAGGATGGGGAGCCAAGTTCCCTTCTCTGGAAGTTGCAGTGTTTTGTTCTTGTCACATTTCCCTGAAATGTCTGTGTATGTTCCCAACTTCCCTCAGACTGTAAACTCTTTAAGGATAGGAATCATGCCTTATTCATGGTTGCATTTCTGCTGTTTACCCCAGAATGGTAGAGGGTAGACACTTGGCAAATGTTTTGTTGAACTGAGCTGAGTGGGGTCTTAGGAAGAAGACACAGTAGAGGCTGAGCATGTGACCTTGGTTTCATAAGCATTAGTGCCAAGCATTGAAGCCCACTACCCAAAGACTGGCAAAAGCTTATTACTTTAGGCATGAGGAAAAAATGTAGCTGAGATTAGCATTCTCCAATGTGGGTGACCCACATAGACCTTGTGGTTAAGGAGGCATCTGTCCTAGATAGCAGGAGCTAGTAGACTATTTCTGCTGCAGCTTCTCCTAGGGGAATATCTTCAGAATATCTTCCCTGAATGTCCTAAGTAAAATTGCCAAGATTATGATTTTGGGTCATTAGAAGATATATTGGGGTGGTTCTTGCAAATGGATAATGTCTGCCCAGTTAATTTTGTCTCTTTAATCTTAGAAAATTCTCATAGATAAAAGCCCCCCATCTTACATCACCCAACCAGAAGACCCAGATACTGTCTTGCTTTTAGCAAATGCCACCTTGACATGGGATGAAGAAACCAGCATAAAAAGTGACCTAAAGAAAGTGCAGAACCAGAAAAAGCATTTTCTCAAGAAACAGAGCCTAGAGGCATACCGTTTGAATTCATCATCCCAGGGAGTTGCTGGTCCAGAGGAGCAAAGTGATAGCTCCAAATTGGTTCTGCACAATATAAACTTTGTGGTGAGAAAGGTGGGTAAATAGCTCTACAGGTGTGGCTTCCATCTTTCCTCCTTGTATCACACAGCTATGGCCTTACCAAGGCCTAACATAATTCAGTTTGAGCTGGAGGTGGTGGTGGGGGGGGAATGTCTCTAATAGGCTGTCTTCTTTCCCCAATTTTAAAACTATGTACATGGTAATGGAGACATTCTCTTCAAGCTGAGAGAAGATGGTGGTTGTATTAGTACTGATCTTCAAACTCCAAAGGAGCCAGCTGCAATGTTGAATGGACAATACATTTCAGGTGGCTAGGCTCAAATTGATGATCTTTTATAAATCTTTTTAGATTTGTTCTTAATTTCACATTGGGGAACTATGATAGATAATAACTGACAATTATGAGCACTTACTATTTACCAGGTACATAATTAACTCATTTAACCACCCCAATAACCCTAAGAGGTAGGTACTATGGCTACCCCTACTTTATGATTGAGAAACCTGACAGACAGGGAGGTTAAATATCTCACCCAAGATCACACTGCTAGAAAGTGAGAGGAGAGGGTTGCACACACAGGGCACCTGGCGCCAGAATCTGTGCTCTTCAGCAACACGCTTGTTAAAAGCAATGAGATCAACAAGCAACCCAGCAAAGGAAGCCAGCCAGTCTGCTGGCTTCTCCCCTCAGGATTGGCGAATAGAGTCTTTAGACAAAGCTCTGCATTTATGGAATGTTTGGCCTTCTCCTGCATGTGGTTCTCTTGCACTGGGAACTCAGAAGCAGTGCTCTGGGGATGGCAGTATTTGTTGATTTTGCTGCAGAGGGCTCAGCATTAATCTTGTGCCTAGTATTTTAATCTCCCATGTTGTTAACTCACACTTTCCCCGTGCAAGCACTATAGAAGGAGAAGTTCTTATTTATTATGTGACGCTAAGCTCAATAGCTGGTGTAGAGTGGTACTTCTTGTCATTAACAAGGTTGTCTGCCATGTATTCATTGGAAATGGTATTTGCTTGGCTGAGTGCAATTGAGCTAGGTTCTCAGTTAAGTCCTGCTGGGTGCAACCCATTTTGCTTTCTCATTCCCTTCCTCCTGACAATAATGTGCATGCAGCACCTGGATTGCTCTAATCATGCCTTTGGAATTGCTCCAGAGAGGCCTCAGTGAACTACTCTTGTGTTTTAAAGAAAGAAGCTGCCTTTTAGCCCCCTCGTTGCTTTCCTCCTTCTCATTATGTTGGTGACCCTTGGGCTTGTGCATCAAGAACATGGTCAATGTTTTCTGAAACAAGGGGCAACACAGCATTGTGTGGATTAAGAGTATGCTTCTGGAACCTGGTGTACATGTGTTCCAGTCCCAGCCACTTGCCAGTTGTGTGACTTTGAATATACTGCCTAACTTCTTAGAGCCTCTCCTCCTTGACCTGCTCAATGGATATTTTAATAATAGCAGCACTTCACAAGGTGGGTGTGAGATTTGAAAGAGATATCATACAAAAATGCTAAGCCCATAGTAAGTCTCAACTGATGTTAGCTATTGTTGCCTTTTTTCTCTCACAACCAAGTCCAGCTTGAGAGCTGCCCTTAAATATCCTAAATTCAGAACATCCATATTTTCCCAAAATTTTTTTTCTGAATGAAGGTAAAATTTCTAATTTTTCCATGTAGGGAGAGGAGTTTTAAGTGATTATAAAGTAAAACATAACATAAAATTATAAATATGTACTACAGAAATTATAAAAATAGATGATGTAGAAAAAAAATCTAAAGCACGTGGTTGGAAAACCACCTGTAATCCCATCACCCTAGACAACCACTATTAAATGTTGGTATGTATCTTTTAGGGATCTTTAATGTGTCTATAAACATGAAGATAGCTATTTGATTTCCAAATTAAGATTATCAGGAGGATAACTACAAAATATTACTAACCCACTTGTTTCATTTAGCACAGTGCAAAATCACACTTAGAACATATTCTCTTCAGTTTTATTACCTGTACTGTTCTTTTTTTTTCCTATTTTTATTTTTTAATTTAACTTTTTTTTTTAGTTTTTGATGTAGTGTTCCATGATTCATTATTTGCGTATAACACCCAGTGCTCCATGCAGAAGGTGCCCTATAATACCCATCACCAGGCTAACACGTCCTCCCACCACCCTCCCCTCTAGAACTCTCAGTTTGTTTTTCAGAGTCCATCGTCTCTCATGGTTCATCTCCCCCTCCAATTACCCCCCCTTCATTCTTCCCCTCCTGCTATCTTCTTCTTCTTTTTTTTTTTTTAAATATAATGTATTATTTGTTTCAGAGGTCCAGGTCTGTGATTCAACAGTCTTGCAAAATTCACAGTGCTCACCATAGCACATACCCTCCCCAATGTCTGTCACCCAGCCGCCCCATCTCTCCCACCCCCCACCACTCCAGCAACCCTCAGTTTGTTTCCTGAGATTAAGAATTCCTCATATCAGGGAGGTCGTATGATACATGTCTTTCTTTGATTGACTTATTTCACTCAGCATAACACTCTCCAGTTCCATCCACGTCGTTGCAAATGGCAAGATCTCATTCCTTTTGGTGGCTGCATAATATTCCATTGTATATATATACCACCTCTTGATCCATTCATCTGTTGATGGAAATCTTGGCTCTTTCCACAGTTTGGCTATTGTGGACATTGCTGCTATAAACATCGGGGTGCATGTACCCCTTCAGATCCCTACATTTGTATCTTTGGGGTAAATACCCAGAAGTGCAACTGCTGGATTGTAGGGTAGCTCTATTTTCAACTTTTTGAAGAACCTCCATGCTGTTTTCCAGAGAGGTTGCACCAGCTTGCATTCCCACCAACAGTGTAAGAGGGTTCCCCTTTCTCTGCATCCCCGCCAACATCTGTCGTTTTCTGACTTGTTAATTTGAGCCATTCTGACTGGTGTGAGGTGGTATCTCATTGAGGTTTTGATTTGGATTTCCCTGATGCCGAGCGATGTGGAGCACTTTTTCATGTGTCTGTTGGCCATTTGGATGTCTTCTCTGGAAAAATGTCTGTCCATGTCTTCTGCCCATTTCTTGATTGGATCATTTGTTCTTTGGGTGTTGCGTCTAAGAAGTTCTTTATAAATTTTGGATACTAGCCCTTTATCTGGTATGTCATTTGCAAATATCTTCTCCCATTCTGTTGGTTGTCTTTTGGTTTTGTTGAATGTTTCTTTTGCTGTGCAAAAGCTTTTTATCTTGATGAAATCCCAATCGTTCATTTTTGCCCTTGCTTCCCTTGCCTTTGACGATGTTTCTAGGAAGAAGTTGTTGCGGTTGAGGTCAAAGAGGTTGCTGCCTGTGTTCTCCTTTAGGATTTTGATGGACTCCTGTCTCACATTGAGGTCTTTCAACCATTTCATTCTTCTGCATGTGGCTGTCCAATTTTCCCAACACCATTTGTTGAAGAGACTGTCTTTTTGCCATTGGACATTCTTTCCTGCTTTGTCAAAGATTAGTTGACCATAGAGTTGAGGGTACATTTCTGGGCTCTCGATTCTGTTCCATTGATCTATGTGTCTGTGTTTGTGCCAGTACCATACTGTCTTGATGATGACAGCTTTGTAATAGAGCTTGAAGGCCGGAATTGTGATGACACCAATTTTGCTTTTCTTTTTCAACATTCCCGTAGCTATTTGGGGTCTTTTCTGATTCCGTACAAATTTTAGGATTATTTCTTCCATTTCTTTGAAATAAGTGGATGGTATTTTGATGGGGATTGCACTGAATGTGTAGATTGCTCTAGGTAGAACTGACCTCTTCACAATATTTGTTCTTCCAACCCATGACCATGGAACATTTTTCCATTTCTTTGTGTCTTCTTCAATTTCTTTCATGAGTCTTTTATAGTTTTCTGAGTACAAATTCTTTGCCTCTTTGGTTAGATTTATTCCTAGGTATGTTATGGTTTTGGGTGCCATTGTAAATGGGATCGACTCCTTAATTTCTCTTTCTTCTGTCTTGTTGTTGGTGTATAGGAATGCCACTGATTTCTGTGCATTGATTTTATATCCTGCTACTTTACTGAATTCCTGGATGAGTTCTAGCAGTTTTGGGGTGGAGTCTTTTGGATTTTCCACATAAAGTATCATATCATCTGCAAAGAGTGAGAGTTTGACTTCTTTGCCGATTTGGATGCCTTTGATTTCTTTTTGTTGTCTGATTGCTGTGGCTAGGACTTCCAATACTATGTTGAATAGCAGTGGTGATAGTGGACATCCCTGCCATGTTCCTGACCTTAGGGGGAAAGCTCTCAGTTTTTCCCCATTGAGAATGATATTCGCTGTAGGTTTTTCATAGATGGCTTTTATGATATTGAGATATGTACCCTCTATCCCTATACTCTGAAGAGTTTTGATCAAGAAAGGATGCTGTAGTTTGTCAAATGCTTTTTCTGCATCTATTGAGAGGATCATATGATTCTTGTTCTTTCTTTTATTAATGTATTGTATCACATTGACTGATTTTCAGGTGTTGAACCAACCTTGCAGCCCAGGGATAAATCCCACTTGTTCATGGTGAATAATCCTTTTAATGTACTGTTGGATCCTATTGGCTGTTATTTGGGTGAGAATTTTTGCACCCATGTTCATCAAGGATATTGGTCTGTAATTCTCCTTTTTGATGGGGTCTTTGTCTGGTTTTGGGATCAAGGGAATGGTGGCCTCATAAAAAGAGTTTGGAAGTTTTCCTTCCATTTCTATTTTTTGGAACAGTTTCTGAAGGATAGGTACTAATTCTTCTTTAAATGTTTGGTAGAATTCCCTGGGAGGCCATCTGGCCCTGGGCTCTTGTTTGTTGGGAGATTTTTAATGACCGCTTCAATTTCCTTAGTGATTATAGGTCTGTTCAGGTTTTCTATTCTTCCTGGTACAGTTTTAGGAGTTGATACATCTCTAGGAATGCATCCATTTCTTCCAGATTATCTAATTTGCTGGCATAGAGTTGCTCATAGTCTGTTCTTTAATTGTTTGTATTTCTTTGGTGTTGGTTGTGAT